CTTTCCCATGATATAAAAATATGCTTGTCATTGGTATCTGGTCAGCCATGAATTCTTGACATTTGGGAGAGATGTGCCCCCAGTCTTTGAAGAATCCTTACATTTATTAAGAGTACTGAATATTGCCTAAATCACATTTCATCAAGGTTCTTGTTTTGTGTGTGTGTGTTTTAAAGCATATTCTCACACTATAACTTACCTGCCTTTTAAAACCTTTGCTCATGTGGTAAACTGTTTTGTGGTGGCTGAAATACACAAATTGCTTTTAAAAATTAAGTTAGGTTTGTAGAGAGGTATAATTTACCTATAGTAATATTCACACTATGGAGTGTACAGTTCTGTGGGTTTTGTCAAGAGTGTGTAGTTTGGTAACCATGGCCATATTCAAGATATAGAAATTCTTGAAAGGCTCCCCAGAAAGTTCCCTAGGATTCCTTTGTAGTCAATCCCTCCTTCTACCCCCAGCCACCGGCAAACAGTGATCTGTTTTCTTTCTCTACAGTTTTGCCTCTTCCTACATGTCATAAAAATGGAATGCTGTATATACTATTATAGCTTTTTGTGTCAGCCTTCTTTCACTTAGCATAATGCATTGTGATACATCTATGTTGTTGCATGTGTCAGTAGTTTATTTCTTTTGTTTACTAAGTAGTAGTTCACTGTATGGGTATACCACAATCTCTTTGTTCATTCATCATTTGAAGGACTTTGGGTTGTTTCCAGTTTTGGAAATTATGAATAAAATCACTATAAACATTAGCCTACAGGTTTTATGTAAACATATGGTTTCATTTCTCTTGGGTAAATACCTAGGAGTAGGATTGCTGGTTTATATGCTAAGTGCATGTTTAACTTTGTAAAAAACTGCCAAACTGTTTTCCAAAGTGGTTGTACCATGCTGCATTCCCTCCAGCAATGTTTGAGAGTTCCAGCTGCTTTGTATCCTTGTCAGCACTTGTTACTGTGAGTTTTTCCCCCCTTTTTCCATTGTAATAGGTGGGTAATAGTATGTCATTATGGTTTTAATTTGCATTTCCCTAACAACTAATGATGTTGAACATCTTTTATGTGCTTATTTGCCATTTGTAGATCTTCTTTGGTGAAGTGTCTGTTAAAATCTTTTGATTATTTTTTGTATTTGTTGTTTTCTTATTACTGAGTTTTTATTACTGGGTTTTTTAAATGTATTCTGGATATAAGTTCTTTATCAGGTATGCATTTTACAAATACTTTTTCCCCAGACTATGGATTGTCTTGGTGTCTTTGGAAGAACAGGAGCTTTGAGTTTTGATGAAGCTACCAACTACCTTTTAAAATCAATTTCCACAAAAAGGTTATGATAGATTTATCAATCTCAAATTCTGAATCACCATTAAATTTTGAATTTCGCTTTTTAACGTAACCAAACATTTTGTGTCTGGCTTGTGACCTATACTTTTTTGGGCTCTTCATTTTCACTTATGTGACCAGTGCTAGGGCTGGCCTTTTTTGTTTAAAAAATAAACAAAGCAAGTTTGTTTGTTGAGTTACTCCACATAAAGTATTGCACACTGACAATGGTCAGCAAAATTGTACTGGGGAGTCAATGCCAGGTTGTCATCTAGGCTCACGCGCTAGCCAGGTGGCTCCATCCCACACACCAGCATTGTAGGGTGTGATGCAAATTTGTGTCTGAGCAAAATTACAAATCACTGCATTTCCACTAAGATGTAAGCTCTTTGAGGTCAGGGACTGTTTCTGTTTTGTTGCTAGACCTAGATCAGGAACCAATGCTCAGAAAATAATGATAGAATGGCCTTCATGAAGAGTAACGTAAGATGCCCCAAGGTATCCAAGACGCTGGCTGTCAGGTCACCTGAGGACTGAGGCCAACACTGTGAATGTCAAAACTTGCACGTCAAGGGACAGCCCAGGGCCCCATCCTGGGGACCTTACCTGCATCAGATGCACTTTCAGGAGCTTGGAGAGAGTCCTAGGGTCCTGGCCTTGATTGGCATTCGTTAGGGACACCTCAGTTTCCGAGGGAGGAACTTAAGTAAGGACACGCCAGCCCTGAGAACGGCGTGCTGTAAAAGAGAGCAGAATGCCTGTCACCAGGTGACTTGAAACCATTTGTGGAATCCTGCTGTTCCACCTTCTTCTGACTGCCCTGGGCTGCATAACTTCCCCTGGACCCCCCAGCCCCCCAAACGGTGGAGATCAGGCCAAGGTTGAAGTCACTGGCAGAGCTGAAGCCAGGCTGTCTGTGGTGGAGCCCCACTCATCCCCACCCCATCGCCCCACTTTTGTCCTGATACTATTTTGGCTTATGGTGTGCGGTTTCAGCATTTGGGCCAGCTTTTAATCACGACCCAATCTCATCTTTTAAAGGCCGAGTGAGTCCCTCCAAGAGAGGAAACTGCTGAAGAGAAGATTTTCCTCAAACTTTGAGGCCTTCTCTTCCTTCTGAGAGCCTTATTTTAAAGGTAGTTCAAGAGGAAAAAGTGGAAGCTCCAGATTTAGGGCAAATGAAGAGTTTGGGGGGAGGGTGTGCGTGTGTGTGTGGTGGTGAGGGGAGCAGCGGTGGCAGTGGGCCACAGGCAGGGAGGCGGCAGTTCACGCAAAGTGGTCCCAGCTGCCCCTGGTTTATGGGCTAATCCCGGCTCTGCTCCAGCCTGTCATTCAGGGTAAGCTGCTATCATTAGTGGTTAAACATTTCTGAAAGTATTCTCTCTCAACTCGGACCGCATGTCCTTTCGGGGAAGGGAGGGAGGAGCTAGGCGAGTAATGGAACCCACCCTGTTGTCATGCCCAGCTGCTCTGCTGAGGGACAGGAGCCTGGCAACTGGATGTAATCATGGGCTTGTCAGAGCCCGTGTGTGTGTGTGACAGGACTGATGTTGTATTTTCCATGCTGCCCACGCGGCCTGCTGCTCCTTGAGGGACACAGCCCTCCGCCATGGCTTAGAGCACCAAATCAGAGAGGCTTTTTTGTCCTTTTAAGGGAATTCTTGGCTGAAAGAAACCTTCCATTAACCAACTTTATCTCTCTCAAGCTCTCTGCCCTCAACACATATTCACACATTCACCAGGGCTAAAGCCTGAATTTCCCCTGGAACTCGTCTGTTCCCGTTCTGCTTTCAACGAGGAGTTGTGGTGAAATGCTCAGGACTAACATTTCTTCCCATGAAGTGGGGACTCTGAAATATTTTTCTTGACTGAGGTGTGGTTGACAGCTTTTGATTTATGAAATTAGCTTAGGGAAAAATAAGATGGAAAAAGAGAGTCCAAATTAAATCTTTATTTCCATAGCTCAGTTGTGCCCTCTCCATCCATTTCTAACTGCCACGCAGTCTTTAGGTAAGAAGGACTCCAGGGTTTGCTGTGTTTCCTGTTTTGTTTTGTTTTGTTTTTAGTTGTGTAGGCCCAAAAAACCAATTTTTTTTCTTTTAAAAAAGTATGTTTTCTTCCTTGCTCAAAAGTATACAAGCTTAATGAAGAAAGCTAGAGAAATTTAGAAAAGCACCAAAGGAAAAGCTAAAGGCATCCACATTTTCAACACCCAAATATAATCACTGTCAACATTTTGGCTTATGCCCATCCCATTGGAAAAATTCATTTCTTGTGCTTGAGAAGATAGTTTAGTGGAGGCACTTATTCCCCTAGGAACCTTCTAGTTTGGTGTGCTGCAGTCTTGTCCCAACACACAGGGCTAGAGGCTGACCAGCAGAGGCATTCTGGTGGGTACAGCACCTCCCAGCCTGGGGAACTTTCTGTTGGAGCTCTTCATCTCGCCATTGGCTAAGTGACTAGTGAAAGAACCACTGGGGAGGGATTCAGCTCAAGTCCAGGCCTCTCGCCCCAGGCTGCAACCAAAGAGCATGGGGCTGTAGACCTTCAAGTACGTGAATTTGAGTCTTTTCTTGATTGCTTGCTTTCTACTGGACTTTTTGGTGTCTGTTTTCTTGTCTGCAAAATGGTCATTGTAATAGTAAGCTACTTCTAGGGTTGCCATGTTACATAAGATAATATTTTTAAAGTGCACAGCACACCACAGGTACCTGGAATATAATGTTGCAGCTCAATGCGTAGTGTATACTTCCATAGTCATCGTTATTACTTTTATTGTTGATAGTGTTCTCTCTGCCTCATGTCATGTGGTCTAGATTATTCTCTGGACCTTTGTTTCTCTGCCTGGAGAGGGGTGGTCTGTTCTTCACTGGATACTATTTAAATCCTCTCACTGTTGTAAAGTAGTATAGAATGACTAAGTAGAATAATCTCCTTTGACAAAACTGCTGAACTGAAGGGCAAGGAGGCTTAGACATTTTCACTGAGTGAACAAAGTCAAGTTACAACAGGAATGTGAGAACACATACTGCCTACTGCCTTGTGGTCTCTCAAGATGCCAGATAGGTTCTCTGTTGTTAGGTCCCACCATTTTCCTTATGGTGCAGATCTCTTGTGCATTGTTTCTCATTTACTTGGATAGACCATGGAATCATCTTTTCTAGATAGAACACATCAACATATGCATTGGCTGAAGTTGTCCAATGTCCCTTGACTTCTGTTGCTAAGGGAAGCATCTTTCTAACTGTAGAGAAAATGGATTTGCATAAATTTTAGGATCTACCTAACAGGAGAAATATGTCATATGTACCCTGTCTAGTGGCCTAGTGATTCTTGTTTATTTCTTACATTTGAGCCCAATGAAAATAATGTGATGGTCACAGGATATTTTGCCAGTTATTTCAGATGTGGGAAGCAATTCACTCTGGATTTGTTTACTTCGAGTGGAAAAGTTTACCCAAAGTTGCCTTCTGGGCTTTTACCAAGAAGGAAGCTTACCTGGGTCTCTCTGTTTGGAGCCAGCTTCTGTTGAGTCAAAGACTCCAGAGGCTATTGAAGGTTCTTACTTCCAATAAATAGCGAGAGAGGGAATACGGTTACTTAGGTGGGATACCCTTCTTTTTTTCCTCACAGTAACTTATATCTGTCTGCTTTATACTTTGAACCCCCAGGACGCACAGACATTCCAGTGGTTCAGCCAGAACAACCACAGCAACCGGCGACCGAAGCCCTGGTACTAACAACCGCCGTCGCCAGCCCGTCAAGAACCCAAGCCACAGTGGCTTGGCCAATGGCACAGGTGAGTGACAGCCCAGAATGCCAGCCCGGGCTGAATCAGTGGCCTCTAGTCTGTTCTCACATGGAGTGGGGATTCTGTCTATGTCATAATGTAGGGTGGGTGAGAGAAGACCCCAACACTAAGATGAATTTGAATCCATCGGCCTTTCCATTGCCCTGTCTTCCATATCTCTGGTACATTCTGTTAGCAAAGGTTAGTCTCCGTGTCTCTTCTAAAACATTCCTTCGCACAGAAATAAAAAGGACTGATTTTTATATCCATTTCTTACCAACATTGGATTCCATTGGGAGAGGATATCTTGTACATGACATATTTTTTTCTTTCCTTAATTTAAGGAAATGATCAGGGGGAAGGAAAACAGAATTGTTGCTAGGAGCTGAGTTAGAGAAAGTGGCAGCACTGTTGACAGTCGGGAGGCTGACTGAGGCAAAGACACACTGGCACTGGGGGGGGCATTCTCGGGCTGTTCCAGTGAGAGCATTTGTGCCCTTTGAGAATAGACAGTTAGCCCTTCCACATCCACATAGACCGTCTCTGTACTTGGCTCTGCTTCCTTGTAAGTGGGAAGGGAAGGACCTATTTCAAAACAATTCATTTTTTTGTCATGCTCTCCATCAGGTCAGTGTTGGATTGAAATGGAAAAAGGGAAGAAAAACCCCACACGACACTTCATTTTTCTAAGCGTCTTGAAAATTGTCAGATCTTTAGTGCCTGCTTGTCATTTGGTAATTTGTCTTAATTTGGGGCAGTTGGGAAGGGACATGGATGTTGCTTTGATAAATTGTAGGTGTTTAAATTGGTAAGGGACACCTGAAATAATTTTGTAGATGCTTGTGGTGGCAGAGGTGTGACTGAAAGACGGGAGGTCTGCAGCAGCATAACTTCTCCACATGAGTGTTGTCATGGTATTGTTAGTGCCCTTCATGTGACAGACTTGAGGAGGAGAAATCAACTTGGGCTACTCTCGATGACTCAGCTCTCTAGCAGCACCAGATGAGGGCTGCAGGGCCCCTCTGATGGCTCAGGGTGCCTCATACACCGTTCCCTGCCATGGACTGCCGGGTGGAGTGTCCCGTGTCTTGCATGGCTCACTGCATGTTGGGGGCATGACTTTCTCCCTGGAGTTGGGGACCTGCCTGAAGGAAATGAGCTAACTGGCTTGCCCTGGGCCCTGAGGATGAGCTGGAGGTGTCGCAGCCCACTGGCGCTCCCGTACCAACCTGTGTCCAAGTGCTGGAACCGTCCAGCTGCAGAGTAGATGGTCCCGTCTGTGTGAAGGTGGTTGCCATGGGCCGTATCATAAAAAATTGTGTGCAGCTCTGTGAGCTCCAGTATACGCTCTTCCCTTAGAAAAATAAGTCACTCATTGGGGAGGGCCAGGGAAACTGGCTCGTTGGAACCAGTTGTTTCCTGGAGGCCTTGGCCGTGATACCAACCACTTTGTTCTTCAGGGGATACTGGTTTCCCTCAGCCACCTCTGCTTTTCTTATGAAAACTATTGGTAAATTGACTTTATATGGTGATGGTCTTTGAGTCACTCTTGACTTTTAAACAGATCTGTATTTCCCTAACATTTATTTTTAGGCACCTTTGCATATTGCCCTTATCTCCAGGAACATTATGTTTCAGCAGACGAGGCAGGTGCCAACCATGTCTTCAGAAAGCCAAATATCCATAACCCCAAGCTGCCTTGGAAACGTTTTATGGCGGCATATCTGAATGCCCAAACTGTTCCCAAAGCCCATCTGGGAAGGATAGTTGTTGCATTTAAGGGATTTCTGCCTGTTAAAATGCTAAGGTCTTCTTGGCTTCTGTCTCCTCTCTCCTTTCTGCTGTGATGACAGCTCACCTTTGCCTCCCAGCCAGCCTGGACTCGGGAGGCTCTTTAATGTCTATCCAAGGGGTACAAAGACCTCACCTTTCCTTTGGGGAGCAGGCAGCACAAGAGCAGAAGGCTTTTTGAGGATATGAATGCTCCATCCTTCAACACATTGCTCTTAGAACTGTGAGTACCAGTTCCAGAATGGTGGTGGTCGGGAGCCGTGCCTCCAGGAAATGTTTCCACAGACATCTGAGGTTTAGTTAGCAAGCCCTTTTGGCTGTGCCGTGCAGTTATGCATGAAAAAGGCATTTGGGGGCAAAAATGGAGCTGAGTTCCAGGTGGTTTTTTTGTGTTGTCACAAATGTAAAGTAACCATTTTTTATAAGATGAAAGTGAATGGCAGCCTGTCTGTATAAATATAATTTTTCTAAGTTTTAGAAGTGGAGGAATCGAGAAGTAGACTAATGGTATAGCACTTCATTGAGACTCGTGTGAAATGACTTTCTCATTTTTTATTGAAAACTTTATCCAAAAAAATGACATCTCTCCCTCCTCCCTTAAATGTGATTTCCATGCACATAGGTCGGGAGTCACACTGGCTGCGGTCAGATTCTGATCCATCGTGTGTGGTATGTGCATAAGCCCAGGGACTTTCTAGGCCTCTGTTTTCTCATTAATAAAATTAGGACAAGATATACATATCTCACAGGGTCGTTATAGGGATATATTATATAAAACATGTAGAGTGTCTGGCATGGCAGTTGGGACACACTGAGCTCTCAACCAAAGATACTTTTTATCTTTGTAAATAATTTCATATGGTTATAGTTATGCAGCATGGATAGATTTTCTTTCATTCACTTTGTTATTTTTTTATACCTGCTTCCATGTATGTATCTGGGGTCTTTTTGTTTACCCCCTTTTAGTGGTCTCATACTGTTTCACAGTTAATACACCATAATTCCTTTAACCATTCCTCAATTATAGTGTATTTCCCTGCTGTAAAACAAAATCCTGGTGTAGACATCTTTGCACACAGCTTTGTTTCTTCTTGAATGAAGTACTTGAGTCAAAGGATATGAATTTTAAAAATGAGATTAATATATATTGTCAGATTGCCTTACAAAAGGTTTGAAGCAATTGTACTTCACAGGGCAGTATAAAATTTTCCTCAAGGGGTATGCAAGCTTTATTTTTTCCTGCCACCTTGTAAATACTGGCTCGCCTATTTGCTAACAGGTATTAAGTGCCATCTCATTGTTTAACCTTCTTGCATTTCTTCAATTATTAGTTGTTTGACTGTTTCTTCTCTCGTGTGACTTTTTTCATAGTGTTGGATTATCCTTTGGAGATTTAGAAATTTATAATCCTACTCCAAGGTTCAAGTATTTTTTTATTTTTATTTTTACAAATTGTGGTTCAGTGGTATTAAGTACATGCACAATGTTGGGCAACTACTTCACCATCCATTTCCGGAACTTTTTTATCACCTGAAACCGAAACTCTGTACACTTTAAACAATAACATTCTCCTCTCCTCCTAGCCCTAGCCCAGCTAACCTCTGTTCTAGTTTATGTCTCTATAAATTTGCTTATTCTAGGTGCCTTATATTTTAAGGGGAATGATTTGTCCTTTTGTCTCTAGCTTATTTCACTTAGCATAATGTTTTCAAAATTCATCCATGATGTAGCATGTATCAGAATTTTGTTTCTTTTCAAGACTGAATAATATTCCGTTGCATGTACATACTACATTTTACTTATCCGATATTCACCTGCTGATGGACATTTGGATGGTGTCCGCCTCTTGGCGACTGGGGACAATGCTGCTGTACATGGGCATACAAGTATCTGTTTGAGTCCAGGCTTTCAGCTCTTTTGGCTGAATACCTACCAGTAGAGTTGATGGTCATACAGCAATTCTGTATTTAACTTTTTGAGGTACCCTCAAATATTCCCAGAGCAGCTGCATCATTTTACATTCCCACCAGCAATGAAGGAGGTTTCCAGTTTTCCACCTTGCCAATACTTCTTTTTTCCCATTTTTTTGAGAATAGCTATCTTAATGGGTGTGACGTATCTAGGTACAAGTTTTATCTGTTTTATTTATGATTATAAGTTTCCCCCTATATCAATATTTTATCCTTTATCTCATTTTTGTGGCTTTTGTAGAAAAAGTTATAATTTTAAAAAAATCATGTCTGAATGTTTTTAATGTTTTTAACTCTACTTTTTGCTTCAGAAGTGAAAAGATTCTTTTCTATAGATGGAATAAATACTTTATTCTGTTTTACCTTTTTTCATCATGTTATGTTAAAAAATAACTATCCCACTGGAATTTATAGTAGTATATCTATCTATACATATATAAATATAATGAGGGCTGGGTTAAATTAACTTTTCTCTATATCAGGGCCCTATTTTCCTATAAACATTAATTAAGTAGTTTTCTTTTCTCACTGTGGTTTTACCGTTTATCACGTAACCACATTCTTATATGCAGTGAGAATTTATTTCTGGATTCTTTACACATTCCATTTATTTTATTTCCAGTTTGGACCAGTGTCATGTGATTTTGATTATTGACGTATTATAGGATGTTTTTCTAATGTCTGGAAGGGCTAGTTTTGCGTTATTACTTTTTCTCCATGATATTCTTTGATAGTTATACATTTTCAAAACAAATTCAGACTTTGAATTCTTAGAAGCGTGGTGGAATTCAAATGGAAATGGCATGAATCTAAATGCTGGCCAGGGAAGGATTGAACTTTCCCATCAGGCAACATGGAATGGCGTTGTCCAGTCTTAAGTTTTTCTTCTCTTTCCCATCTCCTTGTTTTGGTTTACAATAGCTTTGGTTGCTCTTGTAAAGAGCTAAGTGATCAGTTGCATTGGAGGGGCATTGCTTGTTTTCACGGATGAGAGATACTGACTGCTTCACTGCAGAGATGTTACGAGCGATCTTCAGTTTAAAAAGCTTTTGTTGTAGGAGACCGCCTTCTCCTTGCCTGAGTGGGGGGCTGAAAAACCGTGCTGCATCATATGCACCTAAAGATCTTGGCGCACACAGCGAGTTGGCGGCATGTCTAGGATTAAGAAAAAGGATTTCCAATCCCTGATCTTTTTTTGGCTAACTGTGACTAGCGTATTAGAGTCTTAGTCCTGAATGAATATCTGAT